GGGGGAGCCAGGAAGCACTTTATAAAGAGAGTCAAACCATTACAAACTCATACAAGGAGATAAAACAGACGTTTTACATGGTGAAATGTGACTGATGAAAACTCACTTCTCCAGGGGGTGGGGATGTCTCCTCGTGACCCTCTCCTTCTGTGGACGTGGACTCTGTCTGCAGGCTGACATAAGCTTTACGTCCCTTCAAACCCAGTTTGTTGGCCAGATCCTGCGCCAGGTCGATAACCTGCTGATCCTACAAGAACAATTCAAACACAAAGCAAAGCATCACACCTTTTCAGGCAAATTTATAGTCACAAGAAGAAGTCACTTCAGCTTTAGATAAACCAGATTATGAAAACTGAGTTTGATTAGTTTGAAACGGTGAATACTTACATGTGGTGCTGTAAGAAGACATTTTGTTCCACTCTCGTAGCCCTCTCTAAGTCGTCCCAGCTCCCGCAGGCAGAGAGCTTTTCGGTACAAAGCCCTGCGGCTGCCCTCTGATACACACAGTGCACTGTCACAGTCCTGAAGACCACGCTCATACTCTCTCTGAGGAAAGATAATAAACACACAAGCACAAGATTAACAGTTTAAGATAAAGCCCTTTTTTGTCCAACAGCTGCTTGGCCAAAACATTCAACTTAACTACCACTAACTGTAGGGCTGGAGGTATAAAACGTTAAGAGCTGTTTGTCTCGACAAAAACTGCCTGTTTTCTGGTATGTCACAACAAATTATGAACAATAAAAAGTCACACCAAACATCAGGTTTGTTATAATTTACGTTCCTGAATCTCCACTGGGAAAATTCACAGAGTTAAGCATGAAGAAATTTGCTGACTATCAAATCAACTCATGTCTACACTGCAGACTGTGAGGTAAAGGGAAGATCGGTCGTCATGATCACAAAAGTCAAAATCAAAGAAAACACATGAAAGACAATTTTATTTTTAAAGCACTTTAAAAACAACACCGCTGATCTAAGTGCTGTACTCTAATAAAAACATAAAACTAAGTAAAACATAAAAACAATAAACTAAGTAAAACGAGACAATATCACAAAAACAACAGAAATAAAAACATTAAAACCAACACCTCAAACTGAGTTAAAAGCCAAGGAGAAAACAATTTGTTTTAAGAGTAGATTTGAAAATAGGAATTCGGTCCAGAGCCGGCTCTTGGCATAGGCAAACTAGGCGGTTGCCTAGAGTGCCATCTGCTGGAGGAGGCGCCGAACTGCAGAAGAAAAAAATTATTATTTGTAATCCCTGGTTGTAATTCTGCTTAGCGTCCCTTTCAATTAGCTTTGTCTTTAAAAAAAAAACATAATGAAGTATTATAGGAAAAATAAAATACTCTACCCATAAAACATTTTCTCCCCCCAATGCAACAATCAACCCCACCCTCTCTCTCATTTGATAGATGTTGCACTGACTCCTCCTGCTCCGATACTCTGACAGAGGAGGGGCTAGTAGTGCCTTTCAGGTAGCGGTTTGTGTTGACAAACTCAATAACAAGTCTGTATTTTGTTGTCCCAAACACGTCAACCTTTTTGGACGTTTACCTGTATAAAAAGACAAAAAAATCCGTACAACTCGCACCGGGGGGGGGGGCTGCAAAGCAGG